GGGGGCCCGGGAACGGGAGGGCTGACAGGGGGGACGTGGGTCCCAGAAATGGGGGCTTGGCACGGGCGGGTGGGTTTCTGGAGAGGGAGGTTGACGGCCCGCACGCCTGGGTGCCTTGGAGCGGGGGGTGAGGCGGGGGCCAGGGGAGGGAGCCGGGGCTGAGGAGGGGGAGGCGAGGGACGCGCTGGTCCCTCCCGCCGCGCTCGGGGCGATGCTCCGGGGGCCGGTGGTGGGTGCAGCCCGACCAGGGCGGAGGGAGCGGAGGGTCCCCATCGTCCCCGGTACCGGGGGCTCTGTGCCTGTCCCGGGTGATGGATCAGCCCCTGCTCGCAGCCGAGAGCACGGGGGGACACGGCCCGGCCCTGGACGGAGCCCCGGGGATCACTGGTCTGGGACACTCTGCAGCAGGGGGGCATCTTCACCTCACCTGGCTGCGTTGCTGCGTTAGTCATAGATGTCTCGGCAGAAAACATGCAGAGGTGGCCCAAAACCCCTTTACAGGGGCTGACTGCAGGTGTGTGCAGGTTTGAGCCTCTTCTCTGGGTGGGCAGAGAAAGTCCCCAGAGACTTTGGGTTATTACAGAAAAGAATTAGCCTTAACTTTGGAAGAACAAGATATCAAAATTCCTATGCTTGATAATTAAAAATTCTCACCTGCTGTTTGGGAAGTGGATGGTAGTTTTAACAGCTGAATTTGAATTAATGCAAAGCCACATGTTATTCCTTAGCACTTTGTCCAAAAAGAAGAAATCACCACTAAGAGCAGCAACTTGCAGATTGTCTCTTCCAGTCTGGTTAGGCAGGAACGATGGAGACTGCTGATGGAGAAAACTTGGGTGTAGCCACGTGAGTATGCTACCTTCAGTGTCAGATTTTCAAGAAGCTAATTGCTAATTAAAATATCTTAATAGGAATCTAACTGCACGAATGAATTTACACCACGCTGCTTAGCAGATTCTGCCTCTTAGGAGAACAAAGGTGAAGAATGCGAAGCTTCAGGGGGGAATAGCATCAGTGCAGAGTTTAGGTGAAGTCAAACTATGCTGTCAGCATAGCACCAGGCAGCCCTGGCTGAGGGAACAAAACAAGCGCTGTAAGGCTGGAAATTATTTTTTTGGTGTCGATGTGCAATCCAAAATTTCTCATTTTCAAGAGCATTTTGTTGTCTTGTGTCGCGGATTCTGAGGAGAGACTGCTCCTTTGTGTTAGGGTGTGCTCCTTAGAAAACCTGAGACCTTTTACCTCAGGTGTTCTCAACCAAATTTCACACTGGGAAATGCTGATCTAGGTGCTGTGCTTGGCATTACGAGGTGACAGGGGCTTAAGGCACAGGATTGCTGAGCCCGTGTCTGTGGAGGGTGTACGTGTGTTGTATAGACAGATTGAATAAGTGTCATTTTGGAGCAGTTAAAATTCCATTCCCTGCCTTACAGACTTAAACAAGGGTTAAATCCACACTTTTCCTGTTGCTGTTAGGATAAAACTAGTAGTGGCATTTATTTGGGGGGAGAAAAAAAAAATGGTGGGGATCATCCACAGCAAAGTCTCCTGCTCTTGCGTGCCAAGGGGAGCGCCGAGCCCATAACCTGCAGCCCGAGTGGGGTGTCCACCCGTGTCCCCTCGGCCCGGGCCGTACCAGCCCCTCTCCCGGCCCTGTGCCGCCCTCTCCTGGGCTCTTCCAGGCCTTGCCGTGGCTTCCCTCGTCTCCCGAGGCCTCACGGATCAGGAATGTTGCTGGGACATGGCTGGGTGATCAGACGCCCTTTTAAATGAAATCTCTCCTTAATTTCTCCCGGTCAGAGTGAGCCCAGTGGCTCATTATAGGTAAACTGCTGTTGGATTAATTTCACTGGAGTGTTATATAGTACCAAAATAATTAGCTTTTGAAAACTTAGTCTGAGGGGCTGTTCTGCTCTGTTTGCTAAAGAGACATCTGAAAGAGGAGGAGACATTTAATTGAATTTAAACGGTGCTTTCGCTGATCGAGGCTAATTTTTTCCTTGAGACTTGTTTTCCTCATGTGGGAGAAAAGCTTGTCTTTCATCTTCTGGAGAACATAGGAAGAGTTCATCCCCCACTAAAGATGAACTGTGAATGCCAGAGAGATCTGGTGGATTATTTACTGCGCCAGAACAAGCTGCACAATAATAGATTTAGCAGAGGGATCCAATGTCCCGGTGTTGGTACCAGAGGTTTCTTTCCTGGATGGCTTCAGATCCATAATGGTGTTTAATACTTGCTTATATTAGAATAAACTTAGGAGATTATGCCATTTATTTGGAGCACATGAGGATGTTTCTTGCTTGAGAAAAATATTTAATTTTCTTCAGTTCTGTAAAACTTTTGTATACATTTCAATTTAAGTGGTTCCATAAGACCAGGTATTTCAGAATATTCTCTTGAGTGTCTTGAGTTCTGTGATCACCATGTACAGTTAATGCAGGGAGGAGAACATAAGGAAAACTGTGGTAGCAGCTGGGATTTGTGGGTTGGAAAAGGCTTAATTTGCTGTTCTAATTACACTCTTTACATCCTTCTGCACCAGAACTAGAATTACCTTGACAGCAATGCCAGTAAAACAACATTTATTCTTTTTTTCAATTAGGCACCTTACTGGGAGGAACTGTAGTAGAGGCCTGATGAGAATCTCCATGGAGCAGTCTTCTCATCAGTGTCATGGATTATTTTGTAGGTTGAAACTAGGAAGTTATTCACTTATCTTGTAATCACCGGGTTTATTTGTGCTTAGGCTTTCGTTAACACCTTTTAATTTTAACTTTATCTTCTGCTGTGGTTGAAACACGTATTTATCTTGTCTTGTCTTTGCTTTCAGCTCCACCCCTTCTCACGAGGAGTTTGATATAGTTGTTGGCTATCTGGAAGATATCATCATGGGTAAGGGCTGCAAGTAGTTACAACAACATGAGTGCTAAACATATTGCAACCCACCTCAAAATCAAAGATGGTCATAAGAATCACAGAATGGGATGGGTTGGGTTGGAAGGGACCTTAAAGATCATTCAGTTCCAACCCCCTGCCATGGGCAGGGACACTTTCCAGTAGACCCATCCAGCCTGGCCTTAGGCAGTAAAAGTTCATTTTTACTCTTGTTTCCTTCCACAACTGGGGGAAAAAAAAAATCTTCATCAATTGAAAATTAATCTGTGATTTTCACTAATATTTTTTAATTTCAAGAGAAAAAAAAAAACCAACAACTCACTTGGAATTGTTGTAGGGAAGAGTTATTCACTTAATAAAAAATACAGGTGTTTCGCTGGCTTGAGAGCCAGAACGAAAAAGGGGTTCAGAATAAACAACTTTATTAATAAACACAGAGCAGGAGGACTGTTTTGCTGACACTCCCCTCCCAGATGGGGCAGAGGTGGTGGCCCAGCAGCAGCTGCAGTGCTGCTGTGACGGGCTCCGCACGTGTGCAGGGCTCTGTGCTCACAGCAGGGAAGCAGAGGAGCAGTGAATGTGGGGTTTGTGTTTCAGAGGGAATGATTAAACTCCTAACTGCATGATGCATTTTTTTTTTTTGTTGTTGTTGTTGTGGCCCAGATGATGATTTCCAGTTAATACAGAGGTCTTTTCTGGAGAAGCACTACCAGGAGTTTGATGACTCAGAAGAAAATAAGCTCATCTATACTGACATTTTTAATGAATATGTAAGACACCTTTTCCTATTCTTCATCTGTGCTGCTTTTTCATGTTTATTTAGTCGTGTGTCCCCCCCAGATGAAATACTGGGCCTCCATGGAGCAGATCCCACATTGTGCCTGCTGTCTCCTTCAGAAGCACAGCCATGATCTGGGAACAAGAAGGGTGTTTTCTGGAGCTGTAGGCTCCTTTCTCCTTGTTTTCTAGAGATGATTTTGGAAATTGTGTAACTCTTGAATAGAAACTCAGCCTATTGCTGTAGTAAGTGATGTGTTTGCCGTGTGTGCAAAGTTTCTCCTCTCCCAGCTGTATCATTTCCTGTATTGAACCCTTCAATCACGCTCTTCATGCAAAGCACAATTAAGAAACTAGACCTGTCTACTTGTTAGTACCATTAAATGAGTAGTTCAAAATAGTTTGCTACTGGATGCAGGTAGTCAATGTTTGTTCTCACCAGCAAGGTTGGTTTGATTGACTGTTTGTTTGTTTATTTGTTTGTTTGTTTGTTTTTCCAGATCTCTTTAGTAGAGAAATACATTGAAGAGAAGCTGCTCGATCGCATTCGGGGGTTTGATATGGTTGCTTTCACAGTGTCCTTGCAGTGAGTCTTTGCTTTGCTTTTGGCTGGGAGGGGGGTGGCTTATGTGCCTCTCAGGTTTTTTTAATCTAGATTAAAACTTGGTTTTGAGAATTCTCCCTTTAGAGAATGGTTCCTCTTTGATTTAACAAAAGAAGTGTTCATGCAGGCAATGACTGGTCACTTTTCCCGCCTTCAGCATGTCCTGCTACTCTTTCAGAATTATGATGCTGAAATATATTGGGTTCTGAGGGGTAGGAAGAGACATCAGAATGAGAACAGTGTAGAATTTTCATCCTTCTTGTCATTTTGAAGCCAAACCACTAAAATGCTGGGTCTGGTGTGTCTCTTCCAGGCACCTCAGTAGCCTGGTGGTGTTCCAGAGTCATGTGATGAAATTCCTTTATTGCAGTTCTTGTTCAGAGAAGACTTTGGTTTGTGTTCAGCTTTTGCATTTGTTCACTTCAGCTTAACCAGCTTCATGATCTTTCCTTTTGAAAGATCACTGGTGTGCCCCTTGAATAAGAAAATCGAGTGGAATTGGGACCTGAGTGTCTTAAAACACTTGAATCAGTTTAAGTTTTAATGTTTCTTAAATAAGACATTGGAAAGTTACTCTGGGTGCACGTAGTACACTTAGAGAAAAGGCTCTTTAAGGTAAAGGTCCTTTTGAAGGACATTTTTTTTAAAGAGATAATAAAACGAAACCAGGAAAAAAACCCAACAACAACAATACAGAGCAAACCCCAACCAAACCAGAAACAAAAAACCAACCCTTGACTGCTAGGAAAGTCTTGTTGAAATTTGCTGAGAGGGGAGCACAGAAACTTTCTTCCAAAATGTTTTCATCCTCTACCAAGGTTTGTCACTAATGGTTCTTGAGGACTGTGGATGGGCATTTGTGCCTCTCCCCAAACTTTCTCACCTTTCAAGGGACTGTCTGGCAGTTCCAGTGCTCGAGATAAATAAACAGAGAAATGCTGTTGAGTGTTACTTCTGTTGACTTACAGGTCTGGTTTTCAAGGGCTGATACCATACTCTTAGGTCTTGGATTTAGATAAATACAGTAATGTTCTTGGATTGGAAATACTGTGTGGTAATCATTGACCACAGTTTTGCTTTATGATACCCCTGCAATAACATTATTGTTTAAATAATGATATTGTTCTACTTGTCCTTTTTGACCTCATGCCGTTTTAAAATAAATTGTTCTCACAGAGTTTTCTCTTCCCCCCCCCCCAACTTTTCCTCTCTGTAGACAACGCAAAGATGAAATGCCAGGTGATATATTTGATCTGCTTCTCACATTTACGGACTTCCTGGCTTTCAAAGAGATGTTCTTGGAATACAGAGCTGTGAGTATGTCACACTGGCTATTTTCACTGCCACAGTAGCTGTAGGTTCTGTGTAGCTCCCCCTGGGAGTACCAAAGGTAAAGCTGCTACAAATCAAAGGCTGTACCAGAGTCAAAAGCAAAATTACTTCACTGAGTGTCTTTTTAAAGCTCAAACTGCACATTTGATAGTTTTTAGATAACACAAATGAGCAGTTCTCCAGAAACACACACTTGCTGCAACTTCAAACATTGATTTCCAACTGAACAGAAGAGAGCACCTCTTCACTGTGAAGGTCTCCAGGCACTGGCACTCCTTGCTTAGGGAGGTTGTGGAGTCTCCATCCTTAGAGATATTCCACAGCTCTCTGGACATGGGTCTGAGTGGCCCTGCTTGAGCACGGGGTTTGGAATGGATGAACTCCAGAGATCCCTTCCCACCTTTCCCATTCTGATTCTGTAATATGGTGGTTTTTTATTTTTCTTTTCATCCTCAGTATATCCAAAAATTAGCTTTTTAAGCCTATTTCATTTCATTTTTCCTCCTCTGTGTGCAGTTTGGAGAAATAAAAGTATGAAAGGTTTTTGGATGAGGTTTTTCCCCTTACCCTAAGGATTCCTACACAGTCTCTTTGGATTCCTATTCAATGACAGATGTTCAAATAACATGTACTTTTATATTGATTTGATGCAACAAACAGAGTGTGTGTTGCCTGTTCCATCTTTTGAGCTGCTTATTCCAGTCACAGATTTCTTTTTCTTCCTTTCTAGGAAAAAGAAGGTCGAAGTCTGGACTTAAGCAGTGCGTTAGTGGTGACTTCATTAAACCATTAAACAAGTC